CCAGTGAATCCCCTTCTTAAAGGGCTCCCCACATCAAACTCTCACCTAGCATAGCAGGCTTTTTGGAAGAGTGTCTCTCCTGGTGTGGAGAATGAACTGGAGGAGAGAAGATGGAGTCCAGGAGGAGATGAGTGGGAAATGTGAGCAGCTGTGCTGCAGAGACTGAGAGAGGAGCCAGCACCTCAGGCTCAAAGAAGAAAATCACATGCAGCAAACTCGGAAAGCCCTAGAGTATTTTAACACTTAAAAAATCAAAATGGGGGGCTGGAGCGATGGCCCAGCAGTTAAAAACGTTTGCTTCTCTTGCAAAGAACAAGAGTGCATATCTCAGCACCCACAGTAGGTAGTTCACAACCGCTCACATTAGGCAGCTCCAGGGGATCTGATGCCCTCTTTTGGCCTTCGTGAGCATTTGTACACATACCCAGATATACATGCATACATATACATAAAAATAAAACAAATCTTTAAAGGTGAACACAATGTAAATATGTACTTTGTTAAATATTTATTACCCTTCTTGTGGCTGTGAGAAAATACCCAACAAAAACAACTGAAAGGAGGAAAGGCTTGCTTTAGCTCACACTCTCAAAGAGATTTCAGGCCACCATTGTGGGGAAAGGCTGGTGGTGGGAGAGGCTCTAACTGTGGCCGTAGGAGCATGAAACAGAGGCTGTTCACATGGCTCAGGGGTGGGCACAACCTTCAAAGGCCAGTCCTAGTGATCTTTTGCAAGCCAAGCCCCACCTCCTAAAGGTTCCACAGTCTTCAAAATAGCGCCACAGGCTGGGGATTGAATGTTCAAAGCATGAACCTATGGGGGAACATTTCAGACTTAAACCATAGCACTGAAGTTCTTAGCATTTACAGTTTCTTGCTATTACCACTGAAGAGACAATTAATCATTTCTGAACAAAATAGCTGGTAAAGAGAATTTTGAATGTTCCCAACACAAAGAAATGATAAATATCTGAGAAGATGGAAATGTCAGTTATCCTGATCTGATTATTATACATTGTATTCATGTATTGAAATGCCACCCTGTACCCTGGATGTACATACAATTTCTTTGTGTCAATTAAAAATTATCTAAATAAATACCTGTTGAGGGAATGAGTAAATAAATGACACCCCAGCACCTAACTGGATTGTGGGGGTCATTCTCTGAGAGAAAGAGTCAGCCCAGAAGGACAGCAAGGTAGGTAGTTTCTTTCTACCAGAGCGTCAGTAGCAATAGGACACGCTGGCTCCTTCTTGGAACTCAGGGCCTTGGCTAGGCTTGTGCAGGGGATAAGAAATCTATTTAACAGTCAATGCAGCATGCGTTCCTGTCAACCAGAAGGAATCTAGCCCTAGTGTCAGTGCTGAGTCCTGGAGCCCCTACTGAGCCAGAAGTTAAAAACATTTTAGTTGTTGAATTATGGAAAAGGGAGCAGAAAGGCAAAGCAGCCAGAGTACTTGGGGCTTGGGACAGTGAATGCTTACCAAGAGCAGATAGAGTTGTGCCAGGGCATGCCGAATCACAGCCCTGGGTTTGAGGATGGGCGGAAAATTCAGGTGGACTAGAAGATACCATCCAGCACAACTGGAAAAGAGCCCCAATGCCTACTAAAGACCCCTGAGCAGGCCAAGTTTGTACAATACTTATGGTGTGCTTACTCCCAACATGACCAGTGAGCAGTGGGGGATACTTACTGTGCCTCCCTATTTGACAGATAAAAATACTGAACTGCAGAGAAGGGTTATGTGCAGGGAGTGCAGGGATTGTTTTTAATAATGTGATTTTCAGGAACTTGCTGTGATGACATGGCTGGCAAGTGGCAGAACCAAAACAAATCCAGACAAAGACTTCTCAGCTCTCCACTGCCATATGAATTGACAGACAAGATGGAAGTCAAGAGGGGGAAAACGGCCACTGGCTATCCAAGGGCTTTGAGTTGGCTCCATGATGCTCTGGTAACCCAGGAGCTTCAGAAATAACCAGAAATGTCTTTCTCCAGCTGCAAGGGTAAGCAAGACCTGGGCACATATGCTTGTCCATACTGCAGGGCTTCTGAATATTGCTGAGGCTGGAGGTGATGCACATGAAACTCGGAACAGTTTGTAGCATTAGAAAGGACTTGGTGGGGGGCTGGAGAGGTGGCTCAGTGGTTAAGAGCACTGGTTGCTCTTACACAGGACCCGGGCTCGACTCCCAGCACCTATAACAACCTTCTATAACTCCAGTTCTGGGGGATACAACGGCCTCTTCTGACTCCGCAGGCATTGCACAACATGGGTGCACTTACACACATGCAGGCAATATACTCATACACATAAAATAAAAATAATAAACAAAATATTAAAAAGGGACTTGGTGGACTTGAAAGATGGGGTATTATTTATCTTTGTGCCTCCATATTGAGTGGAAAATAATATACATAAATATTTCTGAACGGATGAACAAATAAACAAAAACCTACTTGATCATTCTCAAACATAGATCTGATCCCAGCTCTCCTCTTAAAACTTCCCAATGTGCCTCACCCATTATAAGATAAAGTCTAAATGCTTTATCCTAGAATTCAGGGCTGGCACGATTATCTGTCATTCTACCCTCATTCCATCATCTCAATCCATCCCTCCTGCTGGATGTGGTGAATGTGGTTCTTGGTCTTCTCAATGTTCTGATCATTTCAAACCTATAGGCATTTTGGGTGGAGGAAGTATTTCTTCTTCGTGGGTCATCTCTGGTGGTGCTGCAAGTCACAGTCCTGGTTGTACAACTCAAGTGGGACCAATAGGAATTGTTTTCAGGACTTGATATAATCTCAAAGGGAAGAGGAAAGCTTCTCTTTCCTTTATGGCCATGCTCTGGGGTTGTGGGTTAATAGAGGACCACACAGACAGATGAGAAGACAGTCACACTCACACACACACCCAAACACACACACACACACACACACACACACAGACATACACATACATACATAGACACACAGACAGACAGACACACCAGACCCAAGTGCCACATTGAGCCTGTATTTTCCATTCTTCTTCCTGGTCTCATGAACCAATTCATTCCTCTTTTTTTAAAGCTTGACCAATACTCAGCTGTACCAAGCTGCTGACAGTTCCCACAGTTCTGCCTGTATCCCTTTCAGATTCAAGTGACACAACATTCAAGCCACAGGGTCCAGAGGCTACTGGAAACCTAGGGTGGGTCCTGTGACCCATTTTCCTCTTCTTATTGGGTCTGTTTCAGGCTACACCATGTGGTCACATAGAATTCTCTGGACCTTCTCTGTGCTTGTTGCTACCCACAAAAGCCTCCCAGTTCCTTTGCCCAGTTGTCTCTCCCAAGTCGGCCTCACGGGGTTTGGCTCCTGACATGGGTTGGCAACCTTTCCTATCCTGCTAGTTCTGTTGGTAGGTGGAAGACTGGAGAAGCCTAAAACTGCAGGCTTTAGACCTTAAGGGTCTGTGCTACAGACTCAGGACAAGTACCTCAAAGTCCTCCAGCTTATAAAGGTTATTAGCCATGTGTACCAATTCTTCCCTCCTATATGTGGCCTGCTGTGTGAGCTGGCTTCCTCAACTTCCAGTATGTTCAAGATGTCCAGGCAAATGAGTTGAGAAGGCTTGAAGACCCTTCAGCCATTGTATTTTAAGTGACAAAATTCAGGTGTGAAGCACACCAGGTGTTGGAGGGTGGGGAATGATAATGATAACAGGCAGGTCTGGGGAACTAGGGGATATCACAGGGGCACCTTGGAAAGGGACACTTAGTGATCAAGTTTTGCTAAGATGGGGCAGTGTGAGCATTCTAGCCCAGCAGAAGAGCCTATGTAGCACGTCTAAGTGACCACGAGGCAGACCAGGCAGGCCTTTGGCATGTGACAGGAGAGACTATGTGGAAACCTATGTTCAGCAGAGTCTTGAATGCCAGGCGCAAGACTGTGATGGTTGGTCGGAGTGCACAGGGTTGTAGTTGACTCAAAGACTCCATCTAGGAGGGTGGGTCATACTTCTTCCACTGTATGAGGAGGGAACAAGTCTCCATGCCCTCTTTTGGAGTCAGTAGATTCGGGATCTCTCTTCCTGGCCTCTCTCCCTAACCCTGTCCCACCCTGTCCTTTCTGTGGTCTTGGGCCATGTGGCCTCTGACTGAAGTGGGTGGCATCTGCACTTCCTGTCTTGGGACCCTCGTCTCCCATTTTTCCCAGCACTACTGTCCAAAGCCAAGCACAGCTCCCCCCCACACACTCAGTAACTCAGTGGTGGGCCTGTCTCCAGGCATCCATCCCTGGGACTTTTCCTCTATAGCCATCTGAAGTCCATGACTCATTAGAAACATTCTGCTCTTCCAGCTGTAAAATTCTAAGTGGAGGTTCTGGGTTGTTTCTGGGTTTTGTTTTGTTTTTTCTCCTCAATTTCCTTCCTACTCAAGGACTTGAGAGGGTATATGCACTATGCTGGCTTCAGATGAATGGGAGGAAGTGTCCTAGGATGCCTTTTGCCTGGTGATTATGTGTTTAGAGTCAAAGACTTTGAGTCAAAAAGGAGCCACCAGGCAGCCTTCCTAGTGGTGCCCTGGAAAGGCCTTGGGCACTGAAGTGAGACAGTCCCTGAGTCTAAAACCAGCCCTGCCACGTGCCAGCCATGTGACTGGATCCAGGAAGGGCTTTTCCCCCTTCATTTATAAAGTGGACGCTTAAAAAATACCCACTTTGCAGAGTTGTGTGGACCTCTGATAAGTGATGTTTAGTAAATGGAGCTGATATTGTATGTGACTATCCCAGTTGCCTCAAGGGAGGCAGATATGCCCACAGTCACGCACTGAAACATGGGGGCAACCACAGCAGATCTGTTTCCCACTCTGAGGCTCCTTTACACACACCCCACCACCCTCCATTCTTCATCTCTTGAATCGTCACCAGAGGGCTAGTATCGTGGTAGCAAACCATCCAGGCCACTTCCGCATCGGTGGTGAGGAATAAAGACACGGGGAAGAACACAAATGGAAGAAAGCACCCAGAAAAGATGTCTTTATGTTCTCACATGGAAAAAAACAAAGTCTACAGCACAAAGGTACAGAGTTTCAGAAAATTTCATCTTTACGAACCTGTTTCAGCTGCAGTCATAATTCAAGAATTGCCAAATGGAAATCATAAAATCAGGGTGGGAGATGGCAAGGAGGGCTGCCAAGGAAAGGGTAGTAATTATGTGCCATTTCTTTTCTAAGTTCAGATAATTTATAGCTTCAACGTTTCCGGCAAGTCGGAATTACATAAACAGAGGCCACACTAAACTATGATTAGGTAAACACATAAAACTCTACAGTATGATGACCATAATATTTTAGGGGGAAAATTGTATTAAAACCTGACAGTATAAGAGAATATGAGTAGGATCTTTGAGCAGTTCTGTTTCGCTGGATGGATGGGTGGCTATGAAATTACAGGGCACTCGGATCGCACGTAAATTAGAAAGGGTTGTGTCTCTAAATCTGGCTTTGTAAGAAAACATGAAGGCATCTTACACCCAATAACTGTGAGTGAAAAGAAGCAATCACTTTCTGAAGGACGCACTGGGCAAGAGCTCTGGCCTCTGTTTTCCTGCTCAGCCTTACTCTGTGTTGGGGTGTGTTCACACTGCGGGGGACTTCCAGCTGATTCTAGCACCAATGTATGGATCGGATTTGACTTGGATCTGAATCCTTTATGTCTTTCCTTTTAAGTGTACTGAGGTATGTTCTCTTTGGTTGCTCTTTGGATGAATGCGTAATTTAAAAAACTGTAATATTTACAACATTTAAACATTTTAGATTTCAGTGTCAACTCTTCACATAAGAAAAATTAAAAAACTCTTTTAAGAATCATGGGAAGGCTATTACTTCCTAGCGTCTGTCATGAAACTGTTTTCGATGCACAGAACAATTAACCTATTAGCACAGCTATATGCTTTCTGGTCCAGAATCTTCCCCGAGTTCAGTGGTGAGGCGAATCCCGTGACCGCCATGTCTGTGGTTCGCCAAGCTTCACAGTACTTATCAACGAGACGAACGCCATGGGGGTTGGAGCCATGCCAGACAACCTTCTGGGGCCTACAAAGGAAGTTTACCATGTTACTATTAAGTGGCATTTCTATTTTAAAAACCATAAAGTGCCAGGCAGGGAGGCAGAGGCAGGTGGGGGATCTCTGTGAGCTCAAGGCCAGCCTGGTCTATATAGCAAGTTCCAGGACAGCTGGGGCTACAGGGAGATCCTGTCTCAAAAAAGACAAAAAAAAAAAAAAAAAAAAAAAAAACCAAAAAAGTTTTTTTTTTTTTTTTTGTGGAAATTGTTTATCTGTTTTCATTTGCACGGTCTTGACTATATAGAGTTGGAGACCAACATGGGATGCATGAGTCAAAAAAAAAAAAAAAAAAAAAAAAAAAAAAAAAAAAACCCATAAAGTTCTTTATTGTTATTTTGTGTGAATGTGTATGCTGTATTCATGTGTACACATGTGCACTATCCTGTGTGTACATGTGTGGAGACAGCTCAATGTCAGACGTCATCCTCAATCACTCTCCATGTCAGTTTTTTGAGGCAGGGTCTCTCACCGAACCTAGAGCTTGCCATTTTGGCTAGACAGAATGGCCAGTGAGCCCTCAGGATCCACCTGTCTCCATCCCTCAGCTCCTCTGGGGTTACAGATATATGTTGGTACACATGGCTTTTACATGGGTGCTGGGGCTCCAAACTCATCATGTTTGTGCAGCAGCACTTTACCCACTAAGTCATCTCCCCAGCCCTTAAATAGGACTTCTTTGTGGTATATCTTGGTAGGTAAGTTGGTCTAAGTCTACTGAATTGAATCATGCTCCTCCCCCAGGCACAGTCCAGTGTTGAATTCCCTCTCTATCCATGTGACTCCTTCCATCTTTCTGCACATTTTCAAACCTAGCCACACCCAGCTTGCAGGCCTCTCCCAATGGCATCTGAAGCTTTTGTAAATCCGGATCACTGCTCTTTAGGTCAATTCTTCAGTGGCCCCTGTCACTTTCAGACCTGTGACTCCTTCCCATCTTAGAGGCCTCCTCTTGCAAGATGCCACCTTTGATTCTCACCCCCAAATAAAAATGAATGTCTCCTCTGTGTTTCTATTGTATTATCTGTCTCTCGGTTTTTAAACTATAATACCATCTACGTATATAGTTAGTCTGTATCTACTATCCCCTGACACTGGGAGCCCTTAAAGTCTAGGGATCATGTAGGTGCACTACTGTACTTTCCAAGCCAGGCATCAGACCTGCAGCAGACACGGAGTTGTTCTGTTCTGAAAAGGACACATTGTTTTCATAGATGGAGAGCACTGTTCACAGGACAGAGCTGCAGGATTACCAGGAGTCACATCATTTACACTTTAGTGTTCACTGCATGTTGTATGTTTTCACACAGTCATCTGATGCAGAACTATCCTATAGTATAGCTATGACTGCATTACCTCAGAGGCAACTGAGGCTCAGAGAGGGGAAGTACCTTGCCCAAGTTCTCATATTGAGTTATTAGACCTGAGTCTTTGGGCTCCAAGGCCACAGCTTTCTCCACAGCCCTCAGCTAACTCACTGTGGCTTCTTCACATTAGCAATACTCCAGAGGGGCAGCTGACAAAGGAACCCTATTGCTGGGACACCACCTAAAAATGCTTATCACGCTGTATAACAGGGCCCCAGGCTGCACTTACCAAGAAGGATCAGTCATCACGTCCCGGCCATCAAAGGAATATATTGGAATGTGTGTATTGAACTGACCTCCATCACCAGAAAAAATTGAGTCCCAATTGTTAAAAAGCACTTGACCCTAGAAAAACAATATCACATTAGAGTTGTTATACCATTGGCCTGCAACTTGATTTTTAATCATTCTTCAGAGTTCAGATGTCACTTTTTACTCTGTTGTCCCACCCTGGAAAGGAAAATGATTGCCAATGAGGGAAAGGGCTGGGCCTTGAGCTGTGGTTTATGCTTGGCTCTGTGGGGACGTGTGCCTGAAGGTAGTGAGAGTGGGGCTCATCTTTACCTTGAGGTTCACTATTGGAAGGCCGAATCTCTCTGCCTTCCTCACAACTGTGGAGAGATCTTGCAAATGAGATGACAGGAAAGCTCGGAAGGTAGATAGCAGTCCTGTAGCCCTGGCCTGCTGGAAGCACTGAAAATCAGCTCGGATGTCCCCAGCCACCGGTGTGTTCAGAGCAACCAGACGCAGCTGAAAACAGTGAGACAGTGAGTTAGCAATCTCATGACCACCTTGTTCTAAGGAAGAGCCTGGCTTCGGGGGGGAAAGGTGCTGGCTTCTCAGCCAAACTTTGCCTACATTGGAACTGCCCATCCCCAGTGACGACAGCACCCAAGTGACTTGTTTCAGCTCCGTGAATAGTCCATGGGGTGGCAATGTCTTCTTATGAAGCACAGTTCTCTACGAACCCAGTACAACCCTTTGGAGATCTGGCTCTGATTGGACGGCCATGTTTGAGAGCTCTGGATGTTTTCCTCACTCAGTTCCCAGCTCAGCTTTCAAGTTAATTTTGTCCCAGTGCTTCCAGAGCTATTACTGGCTGCTCTTTCTTCCTCTTGAGTAGGCCTGGGGCTGACCATAGGAGGGGCCAGTAGAAGGACATGACACTTATGGGATGGAACCTTCTAGAAACTAGGGTCATCTAGCAACTCTAGCTTCTCATTCCTGACACCTTGCTCAGTAGTCTGAAACAAAAGCTATTCTAAAGCCTGTTTCCTCCCACACACTGGTATCCCTTTACTGCACCCCCCACCAGCTCTGTCTGCTATACCACATGAAAGACAGTCCCTCACCTAGGAAGGCTCACCCTCCTGCTCTCCAGTCTCATCTCAAGAGTAAACGTTGCCCTCTGACCTCCACATGCATGCCATGACATGGCACATGCGAGTGAGCATGTGCACACTCACACACACACATACACACACATAAATAAATATAGATTTAAAATTTGAAAAGCCCAAAATATTGCTTTAAAAATCTGTTAGCCACTTTACCAACTTTTTTTGGGTTCTTTGAAGAATTACCTAAACTCTTCTCTCTCCCTTGGGCATTTATTCTTTTTTAAAAAAAAGTATTTTATTTATTAGATTTATTTTTTTTTTGTATGAGTGTATTGCCTGTAGTTGTATAAGTGCACCCATGGCATGCAATGCTATAGATGCCAAAAGGGGGCATCGGGATCCCTTGAAACTGAAGTTACAATGGCTGTTGGCCACTATGTGGGTGTTGGGAATCGAATCTGGGTCCTCTGCAAGAGCAGCCAGTGCGCTTAACTGCTGAGCCATCTCTCCAGTCTCTGAGCATGTATTCTTTAGGCTCCTAGCATCTTCTTGACTACTGACATGGCTTTGCTCTTGCTTCTAAATTTGAGGATGCCTTTTAGTTCTTTTTAGTCCTTTCAGGTCCTCCTGACAACCTTGGACTATTGGCGAGGGCCTTATTTGGCCTTCTTTATCTCAGCCATGGCTTCTCATCTACCACTCATGTTTCTTCCATCAGTTCTTCTTTGGTTCTGTCCCTGTATGAATTCCCTTTGGGACTCCTGCCATCCCCATTACAATGGCCATGGCTCTGCTGAAGACATCTGAGCCTGTGACTCCAGGCAGATTTCAGACCTTCACAGCCACTCCATCCTAGTTTTTTACTCAGGTGTCTGGAGGCACCTCAGACTCACTCTGTTCCACCTCAGGTCTCCCCTTGAGGTGCCAGCACTCTAGAAAGTGTATTTCTGGGGGCTGTGTGGCTCATGCCCTGTTCTTTGAAGGCCTTAGGCCTTTGACTTCATTCACCTGGCTACTGTTTGTTGGGGTAGAAATGAGCAATTGATCCAAGATAGTCCAGGGAGACTGTTTCTTCCTAGACTGTGAACTAAGTCAGATGGACTGGGCTCGCAGTTATAAGATGAGAGTAAGGGTCTGAATTAGTGCTGTGGCAACCCAGAGCCAAGTGCAAGCTCATGGATGCTTTGTCTGTGTATGGATGGGACTGGAGGGGGGCAGGAAGAGGAAGGGGGTTCTGAGGAAACAACAAAGTGACTGAGTACAGAGACAAGAGTTCCCAAGCTGGTTTTACTTCCTGTGACTGAATTCCACGGGTTCCCTGGAATGATTGGGACGTGATCTTTATTTATATCAGTGAGGAATGGGATAGCCTCTGGTCCCTGCCATGCCAGACAATACCTGGGAAGGAGCCTGTGACCACCGGATCATCTGAGAGGAAAGGGGCCACTCAGCACTGGATCACTGGAGCAGGAGCATGGGCCTCATTCTCTACCTCACGCATTCTCATAGCACCACATACAACCAATGCAGACCCACCTCTCCAGCCAACCCTCTTCTAGACCTCACTGCTGTGGCCTTAGTTCAGGCAATACAGAGCCACCTAACTGGTCTTTGTATCCCTGTTTCTGTCGTTCAATCTACTTGCACACTGTAGCCAAAATCCTTCTGAAATCCCAATCATACCATACTCCTGTCCCGCTTTAAACCTGTCAGTATCCAGTAATCTCCCCATCGCCTGCAGGAAAAGGTCAAAGTCCTTATCTTGGCTTACAGGCCTTTGATAGCTAGCACTGGTCCTTGTTGACTTCTGTAGCCTGAACTTTTCCCTTCTTTGCTTTGAAGTCCATTGCTCTGGCCAGTCTCAAAGTTTTGTAATACAGGAAGGAACAAGGAACAACATCTCCCCTTCCCTCCCTCTGTTCCATCTTCCTGCTGCCTGTTATTGCCACTCTTTTTTCCCTACCTGGCTTACTTCTGAACTGGGATGTCCTTTAGGTCAGTCTGAATCTAGAGGTCAGCTCCTCCGGGAAGATTTCCTTGATCTTCCTTGGTAACCAGAGCATCTTGGGTTTACCTCATTCAAATAACTTAACACATTATATATCTCTGTGTGTGTGTGTGTGTGTGTGTGTGTGTGTGTGTGTGTGTGTGTGCACGCGCATGCTTTCCTTGCTAGTCTGTAAGCAGTTGGATAGTGGGAACTATGTACTAAACACAGGGCCTAGCATATACAGGCATATTGGATATTTGAAGAATAAACAGATGAATTGTACTTACAGAAGGCCTCTCATAATTGGCACTTAAAATGGGGTTCAGTGGAGGCTGGGGATGGTATGGCTGTGGTGTGAAAGAAGAAAGGAAAACGTATGAACACAGACTCAATCAGTTCTCCAGGGTACAATGAGGTACAAGTTCAACGTTCCTGGCACTACATTTAAAATAGTCTGGCATTATCATTAACTGTCACTCTTAAGTGAGAATAGTTCCATGACTGAATGAAAAGACTCATCCTTGCCGGGTGTGGTGTTCCACACAGTTAGTTCCAGCACTCAGGAGGCAGAGACAGGCAGATCTCTGTGAGTTCAAAGCCAGTCTGGTCTACATAGTGAGTTCCAGGCCAGCCAGGGGCTACATAGTGAAACCCTGTCTCAAAACAAACAAATATAATAACAACAACCAAAAAAACCACAACAAGGGAAAGGGTTCTTCCAGGTGGTATGTGCCAAGCAATGACTTTAAATTAGGAATAGTGGGTATCCAGCCTCTGGACCCAGTTCTCCCTCCACTCTGTTGTGATTAGCTTCTGTTGCCACACTGATAATTTCTGGGTTTCCACCAGGGGCTAAGTCACGTGTCGCTGGCCGGCTTGGTGCAGGGCCCCAGAGGCACTGAGGAAGCACTGGTGAAGGCACCAGGGCCGGGGCAAGGGGGCTACTCACATTGCTGGAAAGCGCTGGTGGTGGGGGGCTGTCATCAGGAATGGGAATCAGCTCTCCCAGCTGCAAGGGAAAGAGCACGTTGAAAATGAAACAGTGGCTAGAAAGTGCTCAGCTGCTTCCAAAACAGGGAAACGGCACTCACAGGAGGAGGCATTATGTCAGAGGGTACTGGGGACTGGGTAATTCCTAAAGGAAGTTTAAGGATTACCTGTAATTTTTTCCAACCATCGCGGACACGAATGAAAAACTCCGCACTGTCCCTCAGGTAGATGAAGGTCCCCTCTATCACCAAGTGCGCTTTTTGAAGCATGTCGCCCATGTCGCTGAATGCTGTGACCTGCCAGATCATTTTAAATTCCAAACCCTGCTGTTACTGAGCAATGACAAAATATATCCATTCTTGTATAAAGGGCCCCTTACTTTCAATAAGAAGGCTTACTGCACTGGACAGGGCTTTTTTTCTTTGCAGTGTTGGGGCTCAAAACCAGGGCCTGCACATGCTAGGCAAGTGCTATATCATTAGTCTACCATCCTCAGACCTCAGTTGTTCTCTCTGTCTCTCTGTCTCTCTTGCTGTGTCTCTCTCTGTCTCTGTCTCTCTGTCTCTCTCTCTCTCTCTGTCTCTGTCTCTCTCTCTTTCTCTGTATGTGTGTTTATAGGACAGAGACAGACATGGGTATCTTCCATTATATGGCTCTCCACTTTATCTTTTAAGTCAAAGTCTCTTTCTAAACCTGGTACTCACTGATTGGCTAAACTGGCTGGCCAGTGAACTTTGGGGATCCACTTGTCTCTGCCTGCCCCCCAGCACTGGGAATACAAATGTGTGCAACTGTGCTTAACTTTTTTAAGTGTGGGTGCTGGGGATCTGAACTTAGCTCTATGTTTGTGCAGCAGGCACTTGGCTGACGACTCCATCTCCCCTAGCTGAGCCCTTGGATTTTTTTAAGACAGTTTTTCACTCTGTAGCTCAGACAGGTCTTGAATTCATAATCTTTCTGCCTCAGACTCCTGAGTGCTGGGGTTTCAGGCATGTGCTATCATGCTCGGCTAAGGGCATTCTTTCCCATAATTTAAAACACAAGTCTAAATTACAATAAATAAATTAAAATACAAAGGATAATTCCCTGTGGGTACAAAGATGTAACAACAGAGTTATCTTTGCTGGGTTTAGGTTTAGCGAAATTATCAGTACATTGCATTCTTTGCCACTTAATGTTTTTATAGTGCAGCTTTGTAGCATCTACACCAGCTAATGGCATTATCTCATAATCCTTAGTGACTTTCAAATTCATTTTCGTTTGGGATATGAAATGTGAGCAAGTGGGCAAATGGACTTAGTCTTAGTTTTCAGCCTAGCTATATGGTTGTAACATCAAATGTGAGATAGAAATGGGGGCCGGCAACGTCCCTGTCTCAAAAACAGTCCAACATTAGAATGGCAGCCAGTCAGCATATCTAGAAGGAGATTCAGAAATTGTAAAAAATGTACTGAATAGTGCCCAGTCTCAAAGAACCATCATCCAAGAGCTTTCATCGTAACAGAAATTTTTTTTTAAAAAGTAATTTTCACTCCACCTTGAAGATAGTAACTTATTCATCAAAATGACTTAGAAATCCACCCCCTGCAAAGTAACCAAATAGCAAAATTTCATCATCTGCTGGAAAGTTCTTTCTTTTGGAGTAAATATTTCAGGGTAAAATCCAGCAATGATCAAAGATGGCTGTGACATTCTGGTAGGCATTGGTCCATCTCTCTGAATATTATAATAATCCCAGTGAGCCACAGCAGTGCACTGTGGGGCAGTGAATGCACGTGCCATACACCAGCAGAACAGAGATGGGTGCATGACCCAGAGCGAGTGTGAGCAGTACATGCTCCTGTGATATTCTTTATTACTTGTGTTTATGTTTCTTTAGAGAATATGATTGAGTCTTCTTTTTCAGTCTTTTTTGATACAGGGTCTCCCAGTAGCCCCAGCTGGCCTGGAACTCACTGTGTAGACCAGGCTGGCCTTGAACTCAGAGAGATCCGCCTGCCTCTGCCTCCCGGGTGCTGGGATTAAAGTGTGTGCCACCATGCCCAGCATGATTGAGTCTTAATCAATTAAAGATTCATAGGACAGAACTTCAGTAATCAGTTATCTTGTTTTCTGTATCTCTTAAGTCATCTGAATAGATAACAAATGATTCTACTATTTGTGGAACTGCACCAATTCTATTACAATGGAGTATAATTTTACTTATTTATTTAGAGACAGGGTCTCATGTATTCCATGTAACCTCCAACTTGCTGTGTTGAACTTTCGATCCTCCTGCCTCTACCTTGAACCCTGAACTTTCGATCGTCCTGCCTCTACCTCCTGAGTACTGGGATTACAGGCATGCCCATCATGCCTGGTTTTATTCAGTGCTGGGGATTGAACCCAGGGCCTCATGCATGTTAGGGAAACACTCTACCAACTGAGCTACATCCCCAGTACCTGTCATGAAATTCTAATTCCAAAATAAAAGTGATGCTAACCTTTAAAAACTATAGCCATAGTCTGAAGTAAATCTATTCAAAATGGAGTGATGGCTACGCAAGATACTGACCAAATTTCTGGATCCAGGGAGCCCTGGCTGTCCAGGAGGGCCAGGTGGGCCTGGAAGAGCCACAGCTGGGAAGAGACATAAAGAGAAATGATAAAAGCCACAGCCTCTGAACTAAGGCCACCCTAACGAGCCTGGAGGAAGCATTGAAATTCTTCACCTCTGCCCTGGATGAAACCATTCAGGATTTTTCAGGATGGTAAGTAAATCCCTCTGATGCTATTTGTAAATGTTGTTTCAAGTTGAATTTTCTGTCACTTGTATCCAAAAATACCCTGACAATTTATTTCACAGCAGACAAAACATGTGACCACTGAACAGAGGAAGTGAGCTCACAAAGCAGAAGAGAAGGGGTGAGGCTACAGGAGGAGGTGAGGGCGAAGCGCTGGCCTCTGGGCCAGACGACATGGACGCCTGTGCTGTCGGTTCCCAGATGCACAGTCTTGAGGAGATGGTAAACTTTTGGAACCTGTCTGTGAGATGTCAGTGGGCATCTCAGTATTGGTAGGACCACGTGAAGTTCAGACTAGGCAAACTGAACCACATGTGACCAAGGCTTCTTAGCTCTTAAAGAGTCACAGGACCCTTCAAAGTCAGATCAAGGCTATTGCACTGGTCCAAGGGAAAAATATGGAGTGTGTGTCTGTGTGTGTGTGTGTGTCTGTGTGTGTGTGTGTGTGTGTGTGTGTGTGTGCTCATGATTCCCCAATTGAAAGTCCTTCCTTTGGGCAAACATAGAGGTATTAGAACTATTCCCTTGCTTTCCTTCTGCCTTTCTAATCCTGTTCCCTCCCAAACCTGCAAAGCTTTGGCAGATGTAAGATATGTTTGTAAGTCTTAGTGTTCCATTCTTCAGGTCACTACAATCATGTCTTCAGCTCTGACACAGAAGTGGTAAGTGACTGGTGAACACAGGGTGAGAAGAGGACGTGGATCTGGGTCCCAGCAAGTCTCATGTCCTCTCTGAGCCTCCATGGAGTGGGTTTTACAATAATATCCATTGCATCTTCCTTCAGCATTGCTGGGAAGATAACATGGATAATGATTGCAAGTGTTTTCTGAACTGTGACTTGCCATGCATTATATGAGGAGTAATCCATGTTCAGTGCAGCAGTGTCCCGGCTCCCTAGTGTGCAGCTGTGAACAACAGATGCTCTGTACCCTGCACTCACTCTGTGGAGTCCTCCATCTCCTGCAGCTCCTATTCATCCCTCCAGGCCCCATGGGAACTTCTGGTTTTATCAACCCAGCCAGTATCTTTGCTTTTTGCAGGACCAGTGTTCTCATAGTCTTTTTTAGAAGATGTACCCATCACATCTACAACTGTTTCCTTCCAGAAAAAGTTACCATGTTCTTCCGTGATCCTACCTCCTGGCTTAGGTGATTAGTCCAAGTTTCTCACCTGGTTTGAGACATGCCAATCAAAATCCTTTCCCATGATTGTTCTACTTCAAGATGTTTCAAACTAAAATTGAGAGAGAAGCTCACGATTTCTAGGTTACAGTGGAAGCTGGAAGCTCTCAGTAACTGTCTTCCCCCCTGCGCAGAGGATGCAGTCTGTGGGGAATGAGCACAAACCTGGCACACAGTGCGCAGCAAAGACAAGATGGCCAGTGGACTGCTGCAGGGTTTAGTCCTGGGTGGTGGCTGTTTTTGAGGTTCAGTTGCTTGTCTACCTTCCAATGAATTCATTAAAAAGTGTATATTTTAAAAGTTCATATTCATATAATGCCATGTTGTTTGACTAGAAAAGGGGAGTGAAGGAAACACTCAAAAGGCCACGTACTGTATAATTCTGTTTATGTGTAATATCTATAATAAGCAAATTCAGAGAAAGAAAGTAGATTGATTAGTGATTGCCATGATCTGAGGAAGTAATTGATCACTGTTACAATTTTTCTTTCTTTCTTCCATCTTACAATTTTTATTTTTATTTATTTATTTATTTTTGGTGCTAGGGATCAAACTCAAGGACTCATGCATGCTCCACCTACCACTGAACTGTGGCCCCAGCCCACAAAGTTTCTTCTGAGTATAATAAAATGTTCTAGAATTAGGCAGTGGGGATAGCTGCACATCCTTGTGAATGTATTCAACATTACTGAATTGTGCACTTTAAATGGATATATGTTATGACATATGAATTATATCTCAATGTTTTAAAGACAAAAAGAAGGAAGGTTGCACCCAGGAAATAGCCCTTTTGTTAGACAGAGAGGTGCCGACATGCCACCCAAGTATGACCCTCAAGACGAAGGCAGAGGCAGCAGGAATGAAGGCATCACTTGATACTAACCTGCACCCAGGATTGCAGGAGGTCCTGGTGGCCCTGGGGGTCCTGGTGGTCCAGGGGCACCTGGTCTCCCAAAACCAGGTGGCCCAGGAAGACCTGGAATTCCTGGGGGTCCCTGGGGCCCAATAACAGCCTCTCCTTTCTGTCCCTGTTGAGGCAAACACACTATCATAGAGAAGTCTACTTGCTCCCTCATGAGGATGCTGTTAAGTTGGTGAGTTGCTATGGTTACCACTGTTCATATCTCAGGCCCATTCCAGGTGCTGTCAGCCCCAATGAGCAGCAGTCCAGCCATGCTGTCCACAGACAGCAGAGATCCCAGGGAGCCAGAGGGCCCCCGGGATCTCTTAGTCTGACCATTGTATTCCCCAGAGGAAGAACTGAGACTTGGACTTTCTTCAAATCACAGTGCAAACTAGGGGCACAACTTGAAGTAGAACACAGTCTCTGGGGCTAAGGTCAACCATGTGGTCCCCAAGGTCAGAAACCTAAGGCAAAATTTGATCTCTCATGACTGGCTGACCTTCTCCTCTTACAAAGGCCAAGCCAGGCAAGAAGCTCTACCTTTAATGAGTCTCCAAGGATCAAGGACCCATTCTGCCTTCTCCATAGCTCCTCACCACCGATAATTTGCATGGAGTGAATTTTCCATGATGTACATGAAACTCACAGTACAGATGGAGCCCGGGGGTTCACTAACTGTGCACAGGCTGGGTCTGCTCTATGGGCACCAATCAACAACTAGTGAGCAAGCCGGTCCATTACCAAGTCCAGTGTGTCCTATACTGACTCTGACTCTCCAACTACCTGCTCATACTGGAGGCTTTGGGAAAAGTCACAGGTCCCCAGAAAGAGTGAAGCTGTCACTACTCACAACCAGGCCTGGATGTCCTGGTAGGCCCGGAGGCCCGGACACAAAGAGGTTGCTGTTGGAATCTCCCCAGAACCTTGCGTCTCCATTCTCCCCCTGGAAGACAGAACATGGAAATTTTCAGAAACACAAGCTTGAATTCTCTCACATATAAACCCAGGAAGCTACAACACAGGCTGCTTTGGCTTCATGGGGGCCCGAAATTCCATGTACTGGAAACTTAGTCCTCAAATTCACACTCAGATGGCACCAAGAGGTAAAAATCTTTGGGAGGTGATTGTGACAGAGGGCTCTGGAGTAGACTAATGGACAATCTGGGGTGGGGGGAGGGGGGTTATCAGCAAAGTGGACCCTCTTGCGTATTTGTTCTGTCTCACCAAGTAGGGCTCTGAAGCCTTAGGACTCTGAAGAATCCCTATCAGTAAGAAGTCCTAGACCTTTGGAACCATAACGTGAAGAAACCTTTATTCTTTTTAAGTTTCCCAGTCTATGGTATTCAGTTACAGCAACAGCAAACAGATCAAATGCTTAGTAGAAAATACTCACCTTCAAGCTGTTCAGAAAATGTCTCAGGTAAGCTGGATCAACTGGAGGACCTGGAGAAGAAATGCCTCCTAAAGTTCATTGCCATAATTCCGGAAATTTCAAAATAAGAGGCTCCAAGTTGGTAACCCTGATTGCACCTTAGTGAAAGTAGCACTATGTTGGTTTATTAGGGTTGACACTAGGCTTAGAGGCACATCCAGTTCCAATCCAGGCTCAGCTACCCAGGTACTATAGGGTATCAGGCACTTCCCAGTGCTCAATATGCCATGTGTTATATATGAACAATAATGGGAAGTCAGTCCTCCCTCCCTCCCTCCCTCTCTCTCTCCTTTCCTTCCTGTTTTCTTCCCTCCCTCCCTGTCCCCCTTACCTCCTTCTTTCACCTTCCACCTCTGTCCCCTTT